CGAGCTTCGTTAAAGATTCAGAATATCTGGGTTTTAAATGCAAAATCGGGACGATGATTCAGAAATTAGTGACGAGATTTTATAGTATGCTAAAACGCCCCATGTTCAGCTAGCCATTCATGATTAACAGTAATAATCATCATTAATTGGAAAAAAAGGATGAGAAAGTTTGGACGCGAAAGGTCGCCAAAAACAGTAAAGCAATAAAAAGCTGCCTGAAGGGTGCTAACGTACGCCTCGGTAAAGACAAAAGAAAAACAAGAATTCATCCATGGAGAAGAAGAAACTCAAAAAACATCAGCCAACAAGCTCCTAAAAATTTAACTTGAATACCTCTTTATCCTTTGACTTTTTCTGATCAGATTTGTCGTCTGAGCCTTTCTTCTCCTTGGATTCACTCTTCTGATCCTTTTTCCCATTTTCGTCCTCTTTGCCGTCCCCTTTTTTGGGCTGGGGCGAAATGAGCTCGACCTTCTTGCGGGTTTTCTGCTCCACCTTCTCCCGGAGCTTGGCCGGATCAACGCTCCCCACCACCGTTATCTTCTGGCCCTCGCCGGCCGTTACTGTGTCGACGCCTTTCACAAACACCAAAAAAAAATCCATTTTCAGAACACCAAAGCTTGGAGCAAACATATCATTTTTTTATATGCGAAAAAGGAATGAAAAAAACAGAGAACCATGGAAGCTTTGAAATAGGAAAGCTTAAACGCGACAATAAAAGAGTGTTAACTTATTTTTACCATCAAAAGAGCGAATGCGCTTGACGACTTTGGATGTGCAGCCTTCGCAGTGCAGGTCGACTTTCAAAACGACGGTGACATTGTTTTTCTTCTTGTTATCTCCTTCGTTGTTCTTCTGGTTTTTCTGGAGTAGCAACCAAAATGAAACAAAAATAAATAAAGAAGGAAAAAAACAGAGAAGGCAAAAATCGAAACGAAAAATCAAAGAGAGATTATAAAAGCGGAGAATATTCGAGCTATTTACCTCGCCCATTATTGGAGAAAATGGAAAACTGTGAGCCTCCTCTGTTTCAGCCTTGAGGCGGCCTTTATATATGGACGAAGAGAAAATGGTAATCTCTTTGTGCGAGTGTGTGTGTGTGTGTGGTGTGGTGTGATGTGATGAGTTGTCGTGGGAATGCTAAAATCATACGTGTGAAGATAGATGGTGGGTAATTGTACAGTGGCCCAGGTTTTTATTTTATTTTTTAATAAAAAAATAATAATAATAATGGCCATTGTAGTAATAGTAAAGATTAGAGACTGATTTTTTATTTTTTTTTATTTTTTATTTTTTTTTTTTTTTTTTAA